CCCCCAGCAGACCAGGGAGATGCGGAGCAGCTTTTCTCAGCAGACACCTCAGTTTGAGAATAATACCCTGAGGGAAGTGAGGTGTGGGAGAATAAAACTGAGCTCTGGAGAAATGTTTGGCTAGAGTTTCCCCTACAATATGTACCAGTTCCGACTTACATACAAATTCAACTTTAGAACAAACCTACAGTCCCTATCTTGTACGTAACCCGGGGACTGCCTGTATAGTGAAGTGTATGTGTAACTCTCACATCTTCTGGGGGTGGTGCACTGTCCCGTCTAGTGGCAACAAGGCCACTTACGGAGAATGAATCTGCTCCATAGCCTTAGCTGAGAGCCAGCTGGCTTTTAGCTCATGTGATAGAGGCTCATGCCCTAAGCTCCAGAGGTCCCAGGTTTGATTCTGCCTACAGACAACCAGGGTACATGTAGACAAAACCCTTTTAAAGGGCTTTTAAAATGGATATACCCATAAGTCAGTGCGAATGACACAAATGTTCCCTTTATGGTCCCTCTGGGCTGTCAGAGCAGTGTAAAGAAGCCTTAATGTGAAGGAGATTGGGCCCACTGTGTCTGGCAATTCTGTTATCCGGGCATCTTCTCATTTGCTTCAACTCAGTTTCTTAAACTGATGCTCAGGGAATGTAAGTCCAGAATTTGCATAAGCAAACTCAGGCTTTAGGTGCCTGGTTTCTGAGCCCAGCTTTGGAGACACCTGACAGGGGCGTGATTACTTCAGGGAGATGAGCACCCACGAATCCAAACGCAGGCCCAAGATGTCTCTAGTTGGTTTCTGTGACCTGTCCAGGCTGCAGCAGGAAGTCCATGGCAGGGCTGAGTGTAGAGCCCAGATTTTGTCTTCCGGCCTGGGGCCCTGTCCTACTGTGTCCCATTGCCTCCACAGGCTGACTCTAAAATGGCCCTTCAAGGGAGTCTTGTGAGAGTCACTTTGGTGGAAGCAGAGGTCGCTGAGCACCTAGAAGGATTCACCCTAATAAGCACTGAGGCCTTGTCTAGACCGCTGTGGGCATTAGTACTATGAATAGTGTAGCTGAAGTTGACGTGCTTAGGTCTGCTTGCCACAGTGTCTTCACAGCACTAAGTCAATAGCTGGCACCCTCCCGTTGACGCTGCTTACTCTTCTCACTTTGGTGGAGTAACAGGAGTCGACAGGAGAGCACTCGGTGGTCAATTTATCATGTCTGTTCTAGACATGATAAATTGACCTCTGCTGGATTGATCCCTGCCTATCGATCCAGCCCATAGGGAAGACATGCCTGAGTCTCAGTATGCTACACTGTGGCAAGTAGCTCAGGGTGATTCATGCAGATGAAGGAATGACAGCCTGTCTGTTAAAGCAATGCTAAGTAGATTAATTTCTCTATGTATTTAGTTCTAATAAAATGCACTTCTAAGCGTTGATTCATTGCACATTTGCATTGATCAGCTTTGGGATGTGAACTCATGAGAGGATCAGAATTAGATGAACTCGTGCTTTCTTGGAAACAGAGACCTTCGTATTAAATGTTCCCATTGGCACCAAAGTGTACCCTGTTGTGGCTAGATATGAGAGGTGGGGGAATGGGGATGTTAAATATCGGTTAAATTGAATAGTCGAGTAACCTCGTGAATTCTTATTGGTTACTCAACTATTCTGTAGTCCCCGGGGGTGGAGTCAGCAGCCAGTGCTCTCCAGCCCTACTCCCGAGCACCCCCCTGCAACTCTGCAATGCTGCTTCTGTATCCGAGGCAGTAGCACATGTACCAGGTGGGAGCTGATCTGCAAGGGGAGTCAGTTTAAAACCAGCTCCCCTCACAGACCATCCCCTGTCCAGGGCGGTTCTGAGCTTCCTTACCTGGCGCAAGGTAGGCAGCCCAGTGCAGTCCTGGCCACCCAGCTTCTAATACACTTGGTAAATGCAGAGCTGCAGCAGGAGCTAGGTCTTGGACCCAGCGCAAGCCGGGACTGAGCCAGGCTGCTGGCCAGCCTGCTAAAAAATGTACTGGCAGGATGGGGGGGGGGTAATGCGGGTAGTCTATACCATTAACTTATAAGCTTTTGCTTATCAGTTAATTGGCTACACTATTACATCCCTAGTTGGGAAGGTTTGAAAGAGACTCAGATCCGCTTCTCTTTCTAGGTCACTTATTTAGAAAAAAAGGTGACCGAACTGGAGAATGATAACATGACTAATGGAGACCTGAAGAGCAAACTGAAACAGGAGAACACGCAGCTAGTTCACAGGTAATAAAACATGCAGCCTGCTTCCTCGGTGCTCTGTCACTGAGTTATGTTCAGGGGCAGAGCTAGAATGAGACTCTCTGGAAAGGAGAGATCCAGTTTTGGGTCCCAGAGGCTTAAATAGAATGAAGAAGGTACTTTCAGTTGAATTTTATGCATCTCCCTGTCATACAAACCTCTTCATCTAGGAAGCCAAAAAAATTCAACACCACAGCCTTGCTGCATGTTCAGTGAGTTTCCTCCTCTGAACAAGCTTAGCGATGTAGCAATTCTGCTACTTTCAAGCAGGGTATCTGACTCACTTGCAGCTGGCTGACCAGGGGGGACACTCCACGTTGTTATGAAGGGGGTGCCCCCATGTCTTTTATGGTGTATGTACTGGGATCAGAAGTCTGGCTGACATTCAGAGTAAATCCAACACGTTAATACAGTCTTGCCATGAGGAAGCAATAGATGTTACTTCATTATGGCTGCTGGGACATATGGATACAAAGATCTGAGCAGTAAATCAGTATAGAATAAAAAGGAGACCGTGTGTAGGGGGAGCATCTGATGCTCTTGTGTGTGGGCAGGTGTTTTGAAACTTACCATATTGACTGGCTTTCCTAGAGTTCATGAACTAGAAGAACTGTTGAAAGACCAAGAGACGTCAGCGGAACAAACACTGGAAGAAGAAATAAAAAGGCACAGAGAAGCATACAGCAAGTACGAAAAAGAGAAGGGTACTGAAATTGAACTGCTAAATACAAGGTAAGAAAATGCAGGTGGACAGTTTGGGATAACATGGTATCTAGATCCACAGAGCAGCAAAAAACATAATGACTGTTTTCCTTGTGTTCTTTTTGTAGTATACTTTTTCCGTTCATGTGGGACCCTAGAGTGTATGTTTGTGTGGAAAGGTTTACGGGTTAGGTATTACAAACAATTGAAGAGAGTCACGTAGGTGTATAATGCCCAAAGCCCGCAAGGTTCCTTAGGTGTAGGAAGAAGCTCTGAAGAAGTTAATGTAAGACCCCAATTCTCCCATCTGGTCTCTGTTCAGAGGTCTAACAACTTGATAGACTGTACACATAGCCCGAAAGGACAGGAGACTGGGATACACATGACTTTTGCATGAAGCTGAGATTTGTTGCATTGTGGTAGTGTGCCTTTCTGGCATAGAAACAGATGTCCTGTAAATGGACTCCCCTAATGGCTTTCTGGGCACCTCCCATCACTCAAATCAAACAGGAAAATAATAACCCTCCTATTGCTCACACAACTGCAGTCAACTGCCAGATGTTCTCCCAGATGTGCAGACATTCAGCCAAGGGCATTGCACTGGGCTTTGAAGAATGCGTAGCTATGGCTCTGGCATGCTGTGAGGAAGCAAAATCAGTAACCGTCAGTCTACTATGGGCATGCCCAAGAAACCTATAGAACACAATCCACTGAAACTAGAACTCAGACCAAGGGCTCTGTTCTTGTTGCTTCTGCGTGGACACATGTTTGCTTTATCCCAGTCTTCAACCAGGATGGGAAGAGCATGAGACTGACTCTGCTTTCTTGGCCCTTGGGAAGCTGCTTACACCAGAACAGAATGGGTGTAAAAAGCTACTGGAACGCTATTCGCTTACTGCCCAAGCAAGGTTCAGGGTGGCAAGAGATGCCCAGTAGAAGCTTAGACAGTAAAAGTCGCGTCTTACAACTGGCTTCGTATAGCGACAGGAGTCAGTGCTTTTTCAGCAACAATTTTAATGTAGAAGTCCACCAGGAGCAGCTTAAATAAGTAGATATTTGGCTTTCTAAAATTAGCAATTCAAGGAACTGGGACCATCTGTATACAGCACTTTTTTTTTCTGTCTGTGGACTGGTTCCTTTGTTAGGCTCTATTTGGGGTCGTGGACCAATGTTTCTCAACTTTATATTTAAAAAAAAAAAAGTATCCCTTTTACCAAAAAAAAAAAAAAAAGTACCCCTAGTCCTCCTGCTCTAACCCAATGCTTCTCCCCTCCCCCAGAGCCAGGCCTTGGCAGCTTGTCTGCAGGGAGTAAGTGGCCCACCAGCGCCAGGCTCGCTATATGGGGTTGTGCTCTCCCACCCCAGCCCGGAGCCCCCCTAGCATGACACCTGGGGGCAGCTGCTCCCCCTCGCTATGCCACTGATGCAGGCGGGAGGGGGTCCTTTGGAGCAAAGCTTATTGTGCCACTACACCACCTTTTAGCTCCTCTCCTCAGCGCCACGGGGAAGGGGTTATGGGGATGCGTTGTACTGAGCTGCTGGCGGGAGTAGGAGTAATGCGCGTTTCCAGGTTCAGCACACCAGAGAGGAAACTAACTAGGAGCGATGGCGTGGAAGTGATTTTTTTTTTTTCTCTTCCTCTCTGCCCAAACCTGCCCCCCTCCTCCATCCCCACCCCCAAACTTGGAACTGCCCTAGATATCACCGGAGCTGCCACAGCCGCACACTTTTCCCACCGGTGCTGGGACGCGTGCGCAGAGCAACTGTTAACGTCCGAGCGTGTGGCTCCAAACATTCAATTTGACAGGCACATGCCGCTGCCCCTTTGCCGATCCTCTTTACAGGGCAAAATCCCGGATGTTTTTTGCCAAATTTCACTTGTGTTGATGTACCTTCCAGATTTCCCTCGCATACCCATAAGGGTGAGCATATCACCGGTTGAGAAACACTGTCGTAGACTATGCCCATCACCCCCGCGCCCCCACATCCAAATGCCCATGCGAATCTTTGGTCACTTAGAAACAAGTCCATGAGAGTGCTGAGAACCACTAGAAGAAGTTTGTCTTGAAGCACTTGGGTTCGATAAAGACATAGACGAATGGCGTTTTTGGGGAGCATGTTTCTCTCAATCCGCCACACTTTCCCTGCCAGTTGTTTATTGTAAGTTTTTACTGTCTCTCTACAGAGTTCAACAACTTGAGGAAGAAAACAGTGAACTCAAAACCACAGTCACCCGACTGAAATCACAAACAGAGAAATTAGATGAGGTAATTTAAACTTCTGAGTGTTGACCATATCTGTGTAGTGACTGCAAGTCAACTGCGTAGTTAATGTGAGCAAAAATTAGTCACTATACACTAATGTTTTTTAACTGACAATCTCCCAACTAGGAAAGAAATAATGAAATTGGGAGACCCTGGGTCATATTTAACATGTCTAAAGAAATATTTCAGAGGCAAACTTCAAAAGTGACTGGCTTTTATAGTCCTATCCAAGGCCCACTGACATGAATAGGTGTCTTTCCATTAACTTAATTAGGCATTAGATCTGTTGCATAGTAAGTTTTTTTTTTTTTTTCTTTTTTTTTTCTTTAGCATGGTATATGAATTGCATTCTCCTAATTTTTGAAAACTGAAGGGTTTTGCAAGAAAAATGATGGTGGGGAATTGAGGGGAAGAATTATCGGTCTTCAAAGGGCAAGTTTGTGTTGTGTATTTACCGTATTTTCCGGCGTATAAGGCGACTGGGCGTATAAGATGACCCCCTAATTTTCTAGTTAAAATTGGGGATCAAAACTAGTTACCACTCTCCATTCTGAAAATTTACCATTTATTACTACCCTTTGTTTCCTGTCTTTTAACCAGTTATAAATCCATGAAAGGATCTTCCCTCTTATCCCATGGCAACCTACTTTATTTAAGAGCCTTTGATGTGGGATCTTGTCAAAGGCTTTCTGGAAACCTAAGTACAGGCAGTCCCCGGGTTACGTACAAGATAGGGACTGTAGGTTTGTTCTTAAGTTGAATCTGTATGCAAGTCGGAACTGGCGTCTGTATGTAAGTCGGAACAAAGCCTCTGAGGACGCCGGCAGCGGGACAGCCACGGCGCATCTGGGCTGCCCCGCTGCCGGAGCCCCTCCGCGGCTTTGCTCCGCGTCTTCCTGGTCTGTAGACCAGGGAGACGCGGAGCAGCTTTTCTCGCCCCGGAGTACACGGGCGGCGGGACCGCGAGGTCCCGCAGTCTGTCCCCTCCGGGGCGAGAAAAGCCCCGTTAGTACCTGCAAGTCGGGGACTGCCTGTATACCCAGTGTAGAAGACGACCCCCGATTTTTGGGGGATGTTTTTTAGCATAAAAAGTCTTCTTATACGCCGGAAAATACGGTAATATTTTATGCTTTGGGAAATTGCCTTCTTAAACTATACAGAAATATCCCACTTCTCTGGCTCTCTGCCGAGAAGTGGCCAGATAGATAAAATGCCTGTTGTTGTTATCCTTGGAGGCTGATTGTTTATATAGTGGCCCTGATCCTGCTAAGTGCTACAGGTTGAAACTCTCTAGTTTGGTACCCTGGGACCTGACCCATGCCGAATCCCAGGAGGTCAATATTGTAGTGAGTGAGTCTTTTTATTTCACTGAGGTGAGTAAATGGAACAATGCTTGCAACACTGATTAATAATCTGTGACTGTTCTAATATAACCTATATAAGCCTATGCCTAGCTAAGACTTATCAGCTCTCTTCATAACAAAGTGTTAGTGGTGTTGTTACAGGATCATACTATATTGGCATAAGGAAACAAGTAGACCAGCAATTTTTATGCTTAGCAGCATTACCAACACTTCCACAGCATACTGGGCTCTTAGAAGACATTTAGGCGTAAATTAGAGCTAAACAGCATGAAATATTGAAAGCGAGGACTGGTGGCTGTAAACAGACTTCATGGGACAGTGGGAAACTTGGCCACACCCATAATGGGACATCTGGCTCACTAAAACCATGCTGGTCCACGGATGTTACCAGACCAGAGAGTGCTGGAGTAGAGGTTCAACCTGTTGTACACTTAGAACTTCCATTGATAGAATATGGTTCTGCATGCACGTAGCTGGAAGGATCAAGCTCCAGGAGATGAAGCCTCTGGTTGTAACATGGCATTAGAGTAGCCACGCCTGGGGTTGCTGAACGGTGTTGTCCAATGAGCATGGTGTGAAACGATGACCTGGAAATGAGGGTGGGGGTTGGGGTAGTCCAACTTGACTATCAAATTTCTGGTTGGTTTCAGGAGAGGCAACGCATGTCGGATAGGTTAGAAGACACCAGTTTGCGGCTGAAGGACGAGATGGACCTGTACAAAAGGATGATGGACAAACTGCGACAGAACAGACTGGAGTTTAACAAGGAGAGGGAGGCTACGCAGGAGGTGGGTATGAACAGAGATGCAGAGCCCATTCCAGCAGCTCTTCCTCGCAAGCAGGAGCCCTGTCACATGCAGGGGCTGCCCGAGAAGGACCTGGGGATAATGTTGTCGATGTGGCTTTATGGAGGCTTATACTGCAGGATAAGGCTTGTAGTGATAGTCCTTGCCACAACTGTAAACTTTAGGGCTGCTCTGCCAGGGCCGACAGGCCCTGAAAATGTGGGGCTTTGCATGTACCTTACAGAGTCTCTATGTCCCTGGAGCCTTGCAAATCCACAGATAGCCGCTTTCTGTCTGCAAGTAACCGCGGATGTGGATGTGGATGTGGATATCCCTCCTCTACTTTGGTGGCTACAGATGTGGCTACAGATTTTTGTATTGAGAATAGGGTTGTTAAATATCGATTAATTGAATAGTCGATTAACCTCATGAGTTCTTATCGGTTACTTGACTATTCTATAGTGCCCTGGGGCAGGGCCAGCAGCCAGTGCACTCCGGCCCCACTCCCAAGAAGCCCCCTGCCACTCCGCACTGATACAGAGGCAGCAGTGTGGGGTGCCAGGTGGGAGCTGGTCTGCGAGGGGAGCCAGTTTAAAACCAGCTCCCTTCGCGACCCGGCTGCCTGTTGCCCTGCACTGCTGCCTCTGAATCCGAGGCAGCAGTGCAGGGTGGCAGCAGCCTCTGTCCAAGCAAGGTCTGAGCTCCAGGATCCAGCATGAGCTAAGACTAGGAGATAGGTGGGCAGGTAGCCTACCTCAATTACACTTGAAATGCAGAGCTGCAGCAGGGGTAGGTCTTGGACCCACTGCAAGACAAGACTGAGCCGAGCTGCTGGCCAGCCTGCTAAAAAATTTTTCTGGTGGGCGGGGGGGAATGGAAAGGGGGAAATGCGTGTCATCTATACGCTAATACATCCCTAATCGAGAACCCTGCATGTTTTGCGGCTATCCGCTTGATAGCCGTGCACAGGGATCTCTGCAGCTCATTTTTTGCAGACACGGATACCAGTTTTGCATTCCCCCGGACTCTCGAGGTGCCCTTCTGCTTCATAAACCGGCTGTGTGATCGGCACTTCCCTCCGGGTGGGTGCTGAGGGGCTGGCTGCCTAGCAGAAGTGCTCAGATGCCCTGATCTGGATGGCAGCCACGCTGCACTGGTTCTGCCAATGCCTAGGCAGTCCCTACCTGGAGAGGTGCAGAGTGCCATTGGCTGCTTGCTGAAATGGGTCTCCCTCTCCGTCTCCGTGCAGCTTATTGAGGACTTGCGGAAGGAGCTGGAGCACTTGCAGCTGTACAAGCTGGACTGCGAGCGCCCCGGCCGGGGGAGAAGCTCCTCCTCCAGCGTGAGTGAATTCAACGCAAGAACGAGGGAAGTGGAAATGGAGCATGAAATTAAACGGCTTAAGCAGGTGAGCCGGGTAGGGGGGCCTCTGGGCCTCGCGTCTTCCGGGGGTGAGGTTTGGACAGTCGTGCAGGGATGCTGGAAAAATGCCAACTTGTAACTTGATCAGCAAACTCCCCAGATCCTTTCATTGCCCGTCGTCATGTTTGGATTGAAGCCTTCCCAAGCTCGGAGGGCTTTTTCAGAGGATTGTGAATGCTGCCTGCCTAGCGCAAGAGGCGCGCTCCTGTATTGGCGTGAGTCTCCTATGCGGTGACACATGGGCTGATTGTGAGGTCCAAAGTGGAGCCTTCCAGACCCACAGGCTACTTGTGCTAAGGTATTAATTCTGGTAGCTGGCACCAGTAGTAGGCTGCTATCATTTATATCCATGGTCTCCAAACTTTTTGTGGACAGGCCCCCTCCGCCCAGGACCAGGAGCGGAGGGGAGGGGGCATGGCTGCTGGAGGGGGGGGGGGTCAAGAATGGAGCCACAGCAAGGGGACCGAGTCTGGGGCCAGGAGCAGAGCCAAGGCTGGGACCTGAAACTGGGGTCAGGAGCTGAAGCTGGGGCCAGACAACCGTTAGGGGCCAAGGCGGGGAGTGGAGCCAGGGCCAAGAACAGAGCCACAGCCAAGAGCTAGGGCTGGGTGGTAGCACATCAGCCTGCTTCCCCCTTCAGGGGCATACCAAGGGCCCTCCACATTTCCCTTCCCCCCGCTCTATATCCACTAGCCATTGAAAGCAATCCATGCCCACTGAGTAAATGTGCTACAATTCAAATCTCTAAAATCTGGGACTCTCCGATCTGATAACATCCGTGATCCGGCAGGATCATGGATAATGTTGGACCCGAGAGCCCTGGTTGGCTAGGTTCAGGGGTTCTGCTGGTGGTGGTGGGAGTGCAGCCCCAGCAGCACAGTGGGGAGCACGGCAGTGGATAGCATCGTGGGGAGCGCAGCCAGAGAGTACAGCCCGGGGACTGACGCGGCCGGAGGAGCAGCCCAGAGTGCGGTCCTGGCCCCAGGCAGGAGCCCGGCCCCAGCAGGGCTAGTGGCCAGCAGGGAGCAGGGCCGATAGCCAGGAGAGGAAGCCTTGACCTTCCTTGGTCGGTCAAATTCTGTGGTTTGGGACCACTCAGGTCCCGAAGTGCTGGACCAGGGGGTCCCACCTATATATGTGTGCGCACACAGGAAGTTTGTGTCAACTTGGCCACCCATATAGTTAAAGGCATACTGGAGATAAAGTTGGGACACTTGTGTCTGTGTGTTTTTTCTCCCCAATATGACTAAGTTCTAGGAGTCCTCGGAATAAGTCTCATTGGAGTATATGTTGCTTGAAGACGACCCCCAAAATTGGAATTTTATTCAGTCGTGGTGGTATTTGAAGTAAAATGATAATTTCCATTTTCTGTACAGTAAAACCTGTGCTATCCGGAACTTAAGCATTCAGAAAACTGTAGAAACCAGCACATTTCTGACACTGGGAAAAGCAAAAAAAGGAAAGTGGCCCTTTAAGTGCCAGGACGCTCCTCAGATGAGAGTGCAGCACGTACCTGGGGGAGGGGCGAATGGCCTCTATGGCTGCCTGATGCCAGGCCACATCCTGGCCCCCCCCCCACAGCTCCTGGCC